TACGTACTCATCGTGGGGGTAAAAAATGGTCAGTATCGCTATCTAATCGTACATGCCAGTGTGGTGAGTTCACTGCGTTTAGGTTCCCGTGTAGCCATGTCATTGCGACATGTAGATCCATGCATCACGATCCCACACAGTACATAGATCCTGCCTATAGTGCGAAGAATCAATGTGAAATTTATTCGCCGCAATGGTATCCAATTGGTAACGAGGATTTCATACCACCATTTGCACATGCAACAATTATTCTGGATGTGTCTTTGAGACGTCAAAGGGGAAGGCCTAGAAGTACACGCATTCACAATGAAATGGATTCGCGGGAGGGTGCAATTACACGAACAACATGCGGTTATTGTAGAGAGGTTGGTCATAATAAACGGCATTGTCCGTCGCGACAACAACCACAACCACCCACTTAATGTGATATATGTACTAAAGGGTAACGTATGTGTTGTATTATAAAATATATTAGTGTGGGTTTAGTGTTGTATGTAGATCATCTGTGTAATGTAATCGTTTTATTAGCGTGGCATATTTCTATCATGATAAACAGATTGGGCAATGTATTTACGGCGTTCATTGCAATTGTCCACAAACAGGAGGCCGCAAATGGCACATAAGCATACGTTACGAATAATTATAAGCATAAGTTTGAAATAGCTGCCAATAAATAAAGCACAGTTAACAGCACCTACACTACAAATATCCATATGAGTCTAAATACGCCCTACACTATGAGAAATAAGTAGTAAAAATAAAGTGTCAAGAGTCCATGTACAATAACCATAAAATCCAAATACGCCCTACACTACAGATATCACCACATCAGTGTGGTCGACCATGATACCTCGCACACTTCGACGTGTCGTGGTCAAATGGTGATAGCATGCATGTAAACCTGGCCTGTCTAACAAGGTTTCTTCTAATCCCCTCAGCATCAGCAGCAGCAACTGGGTCAACATCAGCAACAACATCCCCCGAGGCGGCCTCCCCCATGGCCTCCGCTAAATCATGTGCTGAAAACTCCCCAAATGGCTGAGAATGTGGCGACTGCAAAAAACTAGTGGAGTATGTTGTCGGAGTGGCCATGACCGCATCAGAATCCTCAGCCTCAGACTGCACATGAACCTGCGCATGCGGCTGAGCATATGAATGTGATGGATCGTGAGGTGGAGCAGTAGCCCTGTAATACTCTGTGAATGAGTCTAATCCCTGTGTAGGCTGTGAACTACTACAACCTGCATACATGGGGTACGGCTGAGATGGAAACCCGTACTGGCCCGTAGGAGGACATGTGGGCCAGGGTGGATACGGGGTAAGATGAAACCCAGGCTGAGCACTAGTATAGGCTGGGGGCCACCAATACTGCTGAGATGGACCTGATGGAAACCCTGAAGAATAATACATACCGGGGGGACGGGCGGAAATGGAGGGACTACAACAGGCGTATCAACAACAGGAGGCGTGGAGTGGTGAAGGGGAAAACCCTCTATGCGTGCACGTCAACTACGACGCTGGACAGGAGGAGGATCTCGAGTAGATCGCACTACTGGTGGGGCTGCAACCTCTCCAGGGTCCGTCAATCTATTAATATCATCACACGCTGCGAGACACCTGACTGCCTCGTGATAAATCTGATCCAAACTGAACGATACACGACCCTCTGGTGAAGACATATGGACCACGGTCTCCGCGCGATCAGCCTGTACAACATACATTTCAAGAACATGTTAGTAACCGTAAAATCCGATGTAAACAACTTAACAAGAGAAATAATACGTACCACGTGTGTCGCAACCGCAGTCCTGCGCGTCATCCATCGACGGGTAACTCTATGATACCACCTAATGTACTCACTGTTAACAGACAGGTGGCCGTGATCGCCTTGCGCGAAAGGCAAAAGATCTTGAAGAACCAGAGAATCCCTGTCCTCCCACTGCGCGATGTAGAATCCATGTCGTTCCCTCCAATCGACATTTGTCTTACCGGTAATGCTAAGTGTCAACAGCTCAAGACAATGAATTGGGGGTTCAGGAATAGGCTGCTGAAAACCAAATTGCCGAAGAACTCTATCGGGCTGCTGGTAAACAACGATCTGATAACAAATTAGTGGACAAACTGAAATCCATCTGCGGGCAGTGTCTGCAGGAGGTACATTATGGGTCAAGCCCAGGTATGGTCTCCAACGACACTGTCGTCTACGCATCACGTCCATATGATGGCGGTACCTGCGAATGTGATTAAACACAGTCTGGCACTGATCATAACTGTTAAACCTGCATTTATGATAATATATTATATTACAAACAGCAATATAAACAATAAAAAGGACGAAAAGAGGAACAAGTGACATAGTCAAAGGATACATACCTCGCTCCATAAATGGCATACTTATCGATGACCTCAAGGAGTGGAGGAGAGATAGTCGGGAACCTGGTCCAGACCCATAATTGCAGTAACAGTGCACAACCACCCATATCTGAACGTCTCCAGTCAGTCACTTTGCATAACTCCTTATATAAGAGTGCAAGAACTGCAGAGCCCCAACTATACGTCCCACGTCGCTGGAAATCATCAAGATATAATAAATATTTCGCAGGGACGAAGCTGGAGGCAGTGTCCACAAACAACATACCACCTAGTATCCGCAATATTAATGCGCGTGTATACCTCCTACGGTCAACCTCATTACCGGCGTGGTCTGCGTAATCCTTAAACTTCTCCCGTAGATAGTGGAGACCCAACAAACCTCCATTCAGATCCCGACCAGCTGTGGGCTCAAGACCTAAGAAGTCACGGCACAAATCCTTAAAGGGATGTCATCTGTGGCGCCCGGACACAACCTCACCATCTGTGGGCAACCCTAATAAATGATGGACATCCTCCAAGGTGATGGTGACCTCGCTCATAGTCATATGAAAAGTCCGTGTCTCTGGGCGCCATCGCTTGACAAGCGCAGAGACAAGGTGATGGTCTATCTGAGAGCATAACATAATGAGATGACATCATCAGAGTCAACATAAATTATCACAATACAATATTCTATGGTGATTACGTAGTTATTCATACAAATATACTAACCTCATGGTTGGGTAAGCGGGCAACATGGTAGAACCCAGCCTGCATCAGCCATGGCTGAATCTCCTCGGGAATGTCAAGGTGATTATGGGTTGTAGCATGGCGCACATTAATTACACGATCATTGACATTCGGATCTTCACAGGTGTTCCACACATGTGTGGAAATATGTCTGTCCTGCAAAGTCGAGGAGAGTATTAATCTCCGGCCCAGGGTCAATCACGCTACGTGGTGACCCAGGACGAGCTGCATCATCATGCTCCTTAGATCTAATTACAAGCATAAAATCAGCATATTAGCGATAATTTAAACCGACAGAATGCAAAATTATATAATTGCACAATTATAATGCACAACCATGAAAACAATTATTTATTTATGACTTACGTAAAAGTTATAATTATGTTCACTATTAACATAAATTATTAACCCAAATTATAATCAAAAACTAAAAATACATTAATATAACCCTAAATAAATACAAACAAAACAATTGAATAGTTTACAACTAATTGAAGTTTATGCTTTAAATAAATTAACAAATTTCTAACCTAACATTTAAAAAATCAACACTAACTAATATTATAAAATTATTAAAGCCTAATCAAAAAAGAAAATAAATTATATTAACATTAAATTATATTACAAAATTATTAAAGCATACTTATAAAATTAAATTTATAGGGAAATTTTTAAGAGAATGAACATTTCTGTAGATAAAAAATAATTCAGATTATAGGAAAATTTTTAATAGCATAAATATAAAACTAAAATAACTTAACTTTATATGAAAGAGAATGAACCTTAAATAATACTTTAACTAACCTAATGTTTGAAATATCTACATTAACTAACCTAATGTTTCAAAAATCTACACTAACTAATATTAAACATTAAATAATGCATTAAATAATACATTAAATAAAATGGATTTAACCAAAACTAACCCAAATAACTACATTAACTAACCTAATGTTTCAAAAATCTATACTAACTACTATTAAACATTAAATAATGCATTAAATCATAAATTAAATACAATATTGAAACAACAACAAAAAAAAAAAAAACACTAACCCAAATAACTACATTAACTACTACTAAACATTAAATAATAACTTAAATAAAATTTTAAAACAAAAAAAACTAAAGAAAAAACAAAACTAACCTTTAGAGAGAGAGAGAGAGACCACACTTAGAGAGAGAAGGAGTGAGGTTGGAGAGGTGGGGGGCGGAGGGGATTTATAAAAAAAATTTGAAGCAAGTTCGCTAGGGTGTGTAGCGAACTTGTGCATGATTGACACGTGTCCAGCAAGCTGCTGCGCAGCAGGTTTCTGTTAGGAGTAATTCGCTACACACCCCAGCGAATTACGCCAAAGTTGACACGTGGCATTCTCGCTGACGGGGCAATCTGACTTGGCATAATTCGCTACACAGTGTAGCGAATTATTTGCAAACGTAATTCGCTACACTGTGTAGCGAATTATCACGCGTGGCAGTTTGTGAAATTTTACTGTTCACGTGGCATTCTGATAATTTATTTGCCAAAGCGTGGCACATTGGTCAGTGTCCCTAAATTAGGTGTTTAAAATCAACTTCTTGAGAGAGACTTATTAACTATAACCTTTTATTTTATTTTGTAACTATAAATTGAGATGATCTAAAATTTGGAAAAAATGTTGTGTCAATGTTGATGTTAAATTTAAATAATTTAAATAAAGTGAAGATTTAAAATAGTTAACTAAAAAAAATCAATATTTGATGATGTTAAAATAAACGCACAAATATAACAAATCATGAAACTATTGAAATTCACTCTTTAATTTTTTTTTAATGAATAATAATAATTTTATGCTTTATCTTTTAAAATGCACCATGAAAACAATAGTGGACAAAATTTTAGTGGGTAATAAGAAATTGGGACAAGCATGAATGAAGAAGCCCGAAAAAAAGAAGACCCATGGCCCATTTACAGATGTGGTTGATGGTTGAAGGTGTCGCCGCCTGTTGAGGTGGCGGTGTGTGTGTGTGTGAGAGAGAGAGAGAGAGAGAGAGAGAGATGTCGAGATTCCGAAGACTGTTGCAAGCTTCTGTGGATGCTACTAAGAGAGGTAACTGAAACTGTTAGGTAACTTTACATGAACATGTTGATTCATTCTCTCTCTCTCTCTCTCTCTCTCTCTCTCTCTCTCTTTTCTCTAACTCTTTGTGTGCATTGAAATAACAGTTATAGCCGGTAACCTCGATGATTTGATGCCTCCACCGGAAAAATACATATTCAGTTTTAATTCCAAGCAAGAATTAAGCAAGTGGCATTTGTATTCTGATTCTGAATTTGGAGGTGGATCATCATTTCATGCTACCACACTTAATATTAAAATTTCCAATTTTTTATTTTATTTATTTTATAAATATTTTAATTAATTCTCAATGTTTTTAAATGTTTCATTGTTAGGTTTGTCCTCTGCATCTCTGCAGATAACTCAATCTGAAAATGGACTAAGTTCTGGAATCTTCTCTGGAAACCTTTCATTGGATGTCAATGTGGATTCTAAATGTAAATGGAACATTACTCGTGGTGGCTTCTGTGGAATGCGCTCCAAAAAGGTTACTTTTTCTTTCCCTCAAAACACTACTAGTTCAACTATTACATTGCCAAACAGTTTAAGATTGTTATGTTAACCACAACATTTGACATGTGTAGTACATAAAAAAAGCACAGGGTCTAAGGAAGGATAAGCCCCATTGTGTGTGGTTTTATAGTAGGTAGCTTTATCTTACATTTACAAGAGACTCATTCATTACATGAATCAAACCTAGGACCCTCCGAGTCGTGTGACATAACCGACTGTTGTGTCAAAGTTCCTCTTTCCTATATATACCATAGTAGTTAATTGCGCTGCAATAGCGCCGCGAGCCGCGCCGTATGGGCGTTGCGGTGCCTCGCCGCAAGAAACCGCGCCGCGCCACACCGGAACGCAATAGCGGCCATTGCGATCGCATTTGTGGCCATATTGCTGTCATAAGGCAAAATGTCAATTTTGTCCTAAATTTAAATGTGTAACAGATAAAATTTAAGGGTTTTTTAGTCTATCTGTGTCTGTCTCTGTCACTTCTGCTATCTCTTCCTTTAAAAATGTTTATTTTTGTCATATATTTATTCCGCTATTTCCGCAACCGCAACCCGCTATAACGCTATAGCGTTTCTCGGGGTTGGCCGCGAGATGCCGCAATCCGCATTTGATAACTATTTATATACATGAAACTGATATGTATGGCTGGTAGATATTGGATTTGATCTTACTATTGGTAGCTAATTTTAAATTTTATATTAAATTGAGATATCTTTCTGCATTTTTTACACCTTTGCAGTTTAATGGCTTCATTGATTTGGATTCATATGATACTGTTGCTATGAAAATTAAAGGAGATGGAAGATGTTACATATCTACTGTGAGTGACCTTTTTTCATTGTCAATGCCAAAATATTATGCTAGGAATTGGGTTTAAATTTCATTCATGGGTAGTTTTGCAAGCATTCAACTCAAACTAGTCTGATTTTGGTGCAGATCTACACGGAGAATTGGGTCAATTCCCCTGGACAGATGGAAGATAATTCGTGGCAAGCTTTTGTTTATGTGCCTAAAGACAACTGGTATATTGCAAAGGTATGTTATATTTGCATCTCACTGCTTACAACCTTAATGACTCATGTGATGGATTAGGCTCTCATTGTGCTGAGATAACCTGCGATTTTGTAAGATTTGAGTGACATATATATTGCACTGTTGCTTGTGACTATTTTTTGCAGCCGTATACTATCTTACTGGTTATGCCAAATTAAATTGCAAAAAGTAGTTTACCTTGATGCGAATGCTTTTCCTTTGGGATTAAAGGACTTATCAATCCAGATGCATTGAAAGCCCATGCACGCTGCTTTTGTAGCATTCCATCTACTTTTCTTTGAAGCCTCACGACTGCAATGTTTAGACAGGTCTAGATTGTGATTAGAACTAGGATGCTGTTTTGTGTTGGTTTTACGAATCTCTGGATTATTAACAGTTTAATACGTGATCATAGAGCTTAGAAGTTGGAAAGCTTATTGGGCATTATAGGAGGCAGCTTTTGTGGATAACAAATGTGTCTTTTGTTATTTACTTATTTATGCAGAACTTTTGCTTCACATTGAAATTTCTGTGTTACTTGTACTCAGAACTGCTTTTGTCAATTTTATCAGCGTCTCTCATTGCTACTCATTAAAGTATCAAGATTGCTAGTAGTAGTCCAGGTCTTGCTGGGGACTGATCTTTACTATTTCAAATTGAGTAGACAACTTATGATGGAATAATTGTTGCTAGGTTTTGTATCTTGTTGATTTTCTGTAAATGTGAAAGTGAAGTGTTGGTATCATGGGCCCATACTATGCTCTGAAGTGGTCATACTTGCACATTTGGTTGCATTCTTTTCTATTGTGAATTTCAACACTTTGGATATGTGCTTAGTAATTTCAATGATTGACCAGATTCCTCTAGCTCGATATTTACCTACCTGGAGAGGGAATGTTATAGATGCAGAAATGGAAATGAATCCATCCCGTGTTCTGGGCATGTCTCTGTCTGTCAATGCTGAGGGTGGTGTTCCAGGTGCTAGATCTGGACCGGGTGATTTCAGAGTTGAACTTGATTGGATCAAGGCCATGAGAACTGAATGAATTATAGGTTACAGATAAAAGTTAAGAATTTTGCTCTTCTTTTAGGGTGATAAATTCTGACCTTGTTTGTAATAATAATGTATCTATTTATGTTTCATATAGGGAAAATATATTCATTAGTTATTCCACTGTCAATGTGCTCTTCTGGTAGTCATGACTGCTATAGTAGGTCCAATAACGGATTTGGATTTCATATTCACATGGAAGCATTTCCAGAAAGCAGAATTCATTATTTTCATAATGTGTAGTAGAATTCATTATCTATTTAACTTTTTTTTTGGGTTCATCTACCATTGACCCCAACTAGTTTGGGATAAAGGTAGTGTTGATGTTGATGTTGTTGTGTAGTAGAAGATTCAAGATTTATTGTCACCTTGAAATTATGAGGTTGTCAGTTAGCAATTAAGTGGTGTGAATTTGATAGAAAGGTGCATTACCATCAACCTTATGATACGGTCAAATATAATATCATTATCAACTTGTCTTGTACCCATGATTGCCTAAACTAAAGCTAGCTGCTTTCAGCAACTGTGATCCCCTCATGCCATGGTATATTTGCTTACAACTCCGGTTTGCCAAATTGGCTGTTGGCCTGTTACCTTCTTCTTCAATGAGGACTTCTAACTTCGATAACATTTGCTTACAATTTAGTTGGCTTTTTGTCATAAGCATCTTGTCATTTGTCATTAGTAGAATATCAAGTATTAACAACTTGGACATGTTATGGATCCTATAATTGGGGTACAAGTGCATGGAGTATAGATTTTTTCTTCCTCTTTCAATACATGCCGCTAATTAATCCTTAGCTCAAGCTGAACAGTTGATAAGCAGGTGGGATGTTGATTATTAGTATGACTCATCTCGTGTATAATTGGGGCAAAAATGCATGGAATATAGATTTTTTTTCCTTCTTTCAATACATGCCACTAGCTAATCCTTATTATCTTTGACTAAAGCTGAACAGTTGATAGTCGGTGGGATGTTGATTATAAGTAGGACTTATGTCATGCATTCTTCGGAAGAAATATCCCATCTCATCACAGTGCTATCGGGCATTGAGATAAACTTAGAAAAATTCATAAAGAGATACGGTTTACGATATTTTATTTCATAGTTAATATGTGTAAAAGTATTCTGTGGAGATAAGTACATTTTTGGCATTACTCACAGAACTCAGCTGTTTATGATAGAGCAATACCGATGAGTATTTACTATGTTGTGTTTAACTTTGAAGTTAGGAATTGAAAGGGACTTCGTAAATTGATCCATGTAATAAAGGTTTTGTCCATGGTCACAGCCACTTTGAGAGTTGATTTACTATTCTTGCTGCAACTTGCTATTTTGTATTCTTTTCATTTTGCTTTCTTTGCATCATTACCAAGTTGGAAATGTGGTTAAAGTTTATTTGCCCATATGCGTTAATTGACTAAAGAAAAGTGGTTATATCTTGGCTGCGTTTAACTGTCATATGGTGTTTATCAAAATGCAACTTGTGAAAAAAAAAAGTTGCAATTGCCTTATTGGTCAAGTTTAGGCAGCTGAAGAAAAATAAAAAAATTGGGTGCAGTCATGCCAGAATCTATTGCGTTGTGTGGTGTGGCCCACAAATTCTTAGACGATTGAGATGACGAGATGGGGATTTTATAGATAGTCGTGGAGAAATACCTTCCAAAAACGGAAATAGATACTCTCGTGTTAAAATTTCATATGATTTGGTTATATAATTTTTTTGAGTTTCTCTCTTTCTTTATTAATAATAATTTAATCCCATTTATTTAATGTATGCGAAGAGAGAGATAAATATAAAAATTTTACATAATTAAATAAAGTGAAATTTTAACATCATAGAATCCACATCCTCAAAAAAACACAAGGGGAAGAAAGGACATGGTGGTTCTTCTTATTGCGAATGTGATGATCTATTTTTGAAGAAAAAAAAATTAAATAGGAATTTTGCACAAAATCTAGTGAGCCTATAAATAGGAATTATATTTTTTATTATTTAAATGAATTATGAGTTTTTAATATTTTATGATTTTTTTTATATAAATGTAACATTTACTTTTGTAAAGTAATTAAAAAAATTTATTATTTAATATATAAAAATTTATTTAATAAAATAATTTATTAAACTTTGATTGTTAAATTATATACTAAATTATTAAAATATATATTTATCCATTAAATAAAAAATGATAAAACATATAAGATAATTGAAAAAATAAATTTAAATAAAAAAAATTGAACCTGTTTGACATAATTGATTTATGTTATATTTTTATGTTATCAAAATAAATTATATTTGTATTTTGTATTTGGGGCTATGCCCCTCCCCATTACAAAAAATAAATTACAATTTTTTTTTGTGTTTCATAGATTTTTGCACCAAAAAAATTATCTTATAAATTTTCTGTATGTTTCAGTTTTTTTTTTCATTTTGAAATTTGATTCTGATTTACTAAAATTGTTTTAGATGAATGGTTAATATTAGCTTTTTTATTTCGTCTCTTATTTGCTTTCATATATATAGGCACACATGTGGTACTAAAATAATCTGCTTAGAAAAGGAGTTGCTCCAATCCTTTCATTTAAAGCTCAAATGAGCAGCAAATTCTGACTGAAAGATAGAATGCTAAAGGGCTTGTTTCCCCACACAAAGGATTATGTTGGCAAAAATGTCGGGAAATAATTATCTTATGTTGCACGAGATAATTATCTCATGCAACAGAAATAAAATAGTAGGGTTCATTATTTTTTATTTTTAAAAATAGTGAACCCCACAATTTATCTTTGTTGCATGAGATAATTATCTCATGCAACGTGAGATTAATAGATTCCTTTTATAAAAGAGAAGTGCTATTAAGAAGATAAAGTTATATAACTCTTGCTAGAAAAAAAAAACTGAAAATTTTATTATAAAATAATGGATATAACTTCTACACTTATATAACAACTAAAATATTAAAAACTATTCTATTAATGAGAGGCGTATAAGATTCATTAATCTAAAGCCAACACAAGGTAATTAATGAGGATTTATATAAAAATACTAGATTTGTTTTGAATTACCTTACCAACCGTTTAATGTGGTAAAAAAAGTTTACATCAGCATGGAAACGCACTCTATTATGAAGGAGATTTCTATTGCCTGATATGGACAATTCGTGGCTATATATGGCCAAAAGTACTCCACATATGAATGAACTCTTTAACCCTATAGTTGAATTGTAATGTAAGACAGTGTCACCTATCTTCTTTCTTTTTCTTTTTTTTTTTTTTTTTTTTTGATAACAACACCTATCTTCTTTAACTCTCTAGGATGAGCATAGAGTATATATGGTTAAGAATTCACATTCTAGTCGTCTTCTGTGGCGTGGCACGTGATTTCAGGGGTTTCCACGTCGGCATTTCTTGCAGGACCACCACTTTAGGGTTTATATATATAGAGACATAATTAACTTATACTTAAAGAGGAGTAATAGATCTTATATCAAATATTAATTATTGATTTCCGTGTATCACATTATTATAATTTTTAAGTTATTTTTATTAATTAATTATTAATAAATTACTATCGTTAGATGTATAAAAATCAACTTGTTAAAATTTTGTATAATATATATTTTTTCTTTAAGTGATATAAGAAAATATTACTATATATATAAGGAAATAATTATTTCATGTATTTCATGCAACAAAAATAAAGTAGTAAGATCCATTATTTTATTTTATTTTTAAATAATGAACCTCATTATCTTGTTTCTGTTGTATTAGATAATTCTTTCATGCAACATGAAATAAATAGATCCCATATATATATATATATATATATATATTATGAACTAAGCAGAAATTTTATTGGTAAGGAAATATATTTTAGTTTGAAGGTAAAGTGCAAAATTTTAAGATTTCCATAAAATACATGTATATGTATAACAACAAATTAAGAAATTTTTAAAATTAACTTTATTGATTTTCAATCCACAATTATAATTTTATATTTTACTCTCAAATGTGATTGCTACTATACTCTTTGATCCGTACCATACTTTTTTACATTTCGTAGAAAATTTAGTACTTCAAATGAAAAATTAAACAACCAGAGATAAACAAGAACAAATTTTGGATACTAGATGAACTTAAACAGGGACAAAATCACATGTAAAGTAAAAGGTATTCTGCTTTTTTACCCTGCATGCCTGAGGACAATTAATGGTGTCGCTTTTTCAATGGTCCAAATCCATAATATTCAGTGCTCAGCTTAGTCTATCGTAGATTAGTAACCTATGTCACTTTATTTGTAGGTTATGATTAAATAAAAACATTTAGCAATACACTTTTCCACAAACATAACCTATTTCCAAAAGTGAGCTCCGTAACCTTTTTTTTCAGTTTCTGCATTATGTGAATGTGACAATGACAATAGAGAGAGCAAGCAATCAATTCTACAAGCCGTGCTGTTAAACATTAGTATAATATAGTGGGAACTTCCAATTTTCTCCTCTAACAATTCACAAACCCAGTCACAACAAACATAGAAAAAAGGATTTTCACATTCATAAAGAAGCTTCTGGAGACAAAATCCCACAAAATATCTGCATCAGCATGGAATCTCAGCCTTACATCACAACACTTAATCCACGCCCCACAGCCAAAAAACATTGCTTTATTTTAATTACTAAAAAACCAAACATTATTCTTATATTAAATTAAATAAGAAAAATATATTTTTCATATTACACGACATAATTTATAAGGAACATTGACCAAAATATCATTATTTGACAATTTTTTTATCCAAATATCACACAAACAGTACTTTTTACCAGATTGTCACCTGACAAAATTTGCTACGACTGTTAACGAATTATGTTCGCCAATAATTTTGTGACACGTGGCACATTTTCGTCGAAAAAATCTGACTGAACTTCGTTATCAGTGGTAGCGAATTTGATACACAATGTAGCCACGTGTCACGAAATTATTAGTAAACATAATTTGTTATCTATCGTAGTGAATTATGTCGCGTGTCAGCCTGGTAAAAAGTATTGTTCGCATGACATTTGGATAAAATTTTTGATAAACAGTGTCACTTTAGTCAGTGTCCCAATTTATAACATGTAACACACTAAAAAATAAATGTAATAAAAAAAGAAAAAAATGGAATAGACTCTATTTTATATGTGTTTTATTTCCTATATCATGAGAAAAATATCTTCATTTAAATAACATGAAACTAAAATAAAATAAACTATATAAGTTGCAGCACTACATGTTTCTGGAGTGTTCATGAGGCTAAAGAAGGAGAGAGTTTTTTCCCTTGTGCTTTCACCCTTCACTCCACGGAATCAAAAGCAAAATGCTAAGTTCCGTGTCTCAATTCATAAACATGTAGCCCAAACACAAGTTGTCATCCAACTTGTATTATAATAGTAGTAATACTATTATATAATAGTAATATTATTGTGATTATATGTATGTGTGTGATTTTCGTGCCTTTCTTTTATGCTAAGGTTGTACGGAGTTTGTGTGTTTTGGTTGTGCTATGTTGATTCAATTCGTCGACAAGAAACCTTAGTTTGATAGTTGATTGGTTCTGAGGAGAGTTTTTCAGAGCTATTGGTTGTGAAAGTGTGTGTTTTTATTTATTTATTGTTGGGAATAATGGCTAATGATGGAGACAAAAGCAATGATTTTTATGCGATTCTGGGTTTGAATAAGGAGTGCACTGAATCAGAGCTAAGGAATGCCTATAAGAAACTTGCACTGGTTAGAATTGAATCTCAATGCTTCTCTGTTAAACTTTCTTCTTCTTAGAACCCCTTTTTCTCTTCTTCTAAATTTCCTTCACATGTCTCTTCCCAAAATCACCCTTTTCATGGTTGAAACAACCCAATTATGAATTATTGTTGTCATGGAAGTTAAGAAAGATATTTTGTTTGATTGGAAAATAGAAATGGCACCCAGATCGTTGTTCAGCATCCGGGAATTCCAAGTTCGTGGAAGAAGCTAAGAAGAAATTCCAAGCAATCCAACAAGCCTATTCTGGTAATTCAATTTGGTGTTTACTTCCTTTTTGAATATTGACCCATGATTCATTGGTTCATTTTCTACTCCAAATTGAAGAAAAGTTGGAATTTTTTTAATTTTCATTTCTATTTGGTCTAAATGGTAGTGTTTTTCTCTGTTACAGTTTTATCTGACACGAACAAGAGGTTAATGTACGACGTAGGAGTCTACGACAGTGATGACGACGAAAACGTAAGTCACTTACCTCAGTCCTACAGCTAACATGTCCTTCTGTTTATCCTATGTTTCATTCCCTTCCTTGAAGAGTAGAAGCAGCCTTTTTTTTTTTTTCACAGTAACCAATTTGGGTTTGGGAATCTGTCTTTTTCAATTTTCTTATTCTTTATTTGGGGTTTATTTATTTATTTATTTTTATTTTTTTGAGATTATTGGTGTTGTTCTGTCATATGCAGTCTTGTCACGTTTCTGGTTTTTGCACTGTCCATATATTTTATTTTATTTTTAACTTGCTGAAAAAAGAGGTATCTTCTTTGGGATTAATTAGAATCCAATTTGTCCACAAATGCTTGACTCTATTCTATGGGATTCCCACTAAGGCATAAACTTTTTTTACAAGTCAAGTCAGTTGGTGTGTTACACATCACATGGTCATGTTTATGGATTTCAATAAGAGGGAATAATTCATAGAATTGGATCTTGTTTCCACCAAATGGAGGAGTGTTCGTGAATCGTGATCCAATAATTTTGATGAGTTAATCTAATAGTGAATTTGCTTTTGCAGGGCATGGGGGACTTCTTGAACGAAATGGTAACGATGATGAGTCAGACTCAATCAAATGTGAGCAGCCCCTTTAATTTCATTGCAACCTTTTCTTTTATATAGTTATTGGAATGTTGGGTGGTAAAGCGAGACACAAAAAGTGTTGTTTAATATATATTTTTTGGTTTAGTGGATATTGGATCATAAAACTAGACATAAACATATATAGTGGCTGCTTTTGTCAAATACTATGTAGTTATAGCTTTTTGTGTTTTGAGTGGGCCACTCCAGTGTTACGGCTTTTTCTTTTTTGGGATTCCCCCCTCACTATGTTAGTATTTTTTTGGGTCCAAATGCTATGAAAATGGGGAAGCTATAATTGAAGTTTCTTGCTGTATGCCAAAACAACAAGTAGTTGAGTAGTTGAGGACAGATAGACAACACCTTTTAACGTTCATGTCTAAATTAGAATAATTTACATAACAATTTTTAATTTTGCCACATAGTCACGTATTCTTTTTGGATTATTAGTTAGTATAGGTCTTTGAATTCCTTACAGTTTGCTAGTTTTGAAAACAACATCCTTGGTCTGACATTTTGGTGGCAATTTGATCAAGAGTTGAAGGCTTCAAAAGGTTGTTGTTAAATGTTTATCGGGCGTAGACAATTGATAATTTTATGCATAAAATAGCAGGAAAATGGAAAGGAGAGTTTTGAGGAGTTGCAGCATCTGTTTGAAGATATGTTTCAAGCGGATATTGGATTAGATGGAAGCACCTCTCTTACTGCTGCTGGTTGCTCTGCTTCATCTAAGTATATGAGTTATAGTGAAAGTTCTAATTCAAATAAACGCAATTCCACTGAAATGAATTTTGGGAAGGCAGAGGATTCTTCTGACTTCAATGCCAGTTACCAGAACTTCTGTTTAGGGGTTAGTATATACTCATGTTTTTCATTTGATGTAACATCCATGGCATACATAATGATTATGAGAAATGAAGTGGGAAAGGGCATGCAAATGATAGGGGTTTTGGGGCCTAAATCCCCAACCTTGAACCCTCCCCACCAAAGAGTCCCAAAATATTACATGCTCAGTCTAGTTTCTGTTCTCTGCAAGTTACATGTGTTTTGTATGATTCTGGAGGATTGTGGGATTCTTTCCTCTCCAGGCCTGTGTTTAATAAAGCAAAACCAGTACCATGTAATTGAGTTCTTTAGTTTAGTTTAAAGAAGACCTGATTTTTGAGGTTATGGGGATGATATAGAGATTTGCACAATCTGTTCGGGTATGTAGCTTTGTAGATTATGGTAAGATAGATTTAATTGGTTATATAAGAGTCTTTTAATCAGTTTGTATCTTTTGTGTTATTCATGTCCTCAAGGTCGGTCTTGTAAATTACCATTACCAAATTCCAATGATTGAGGATACAAAACAATGGAGTATGTGAAAGTGGTAAGTGATTCCCTCTGGTCTTCTCCTTACACAATGTCATCTAATCTCAGGTTCTTTGGCTGGTAATGAAGTGTTTTCTGAAAGTTCCAAGTCATATCTGTATCAGTCTTTATCAGACGTTACATGACATATTTCATGCATTATAGCTGTACTTACATGCAAAAGCGGCTTTGTTTATTGGGAAAATGTTCCAGTACATATAGCTTCATGTTGATTTAGTATTTTCTTGTTCTTGATGTGAAGACAGGTGAAAAACCTCCAAGATATCAAGAAGGGAAAAGGAGGAATTCCAGGAGGAGGTAGTAGTAGTAGACAGAGAAAAGGCAGAAAGCAAAAAATCTCATATGACAATGATGTTTCCTCTAGTGACTACCTTGGAATTTCCTCTAAGTAATGAACATGATAGCATGTTACTTTTTGTGCCTCAACCTTGGCATTCTGGTTTTGGGAAATCAATAATCTTAAGTTTTTACTAAGCACATGAGGAGCCATACAACTTTAGTGGGAGATCACAAAGTTAGTTCTAGGCCACTGTAGCCTCCTGCCATGTACCCTTATTTACCATTGTACACTCTTGCTAGGACTTTAAATTAAAATCAATTGAAGTTTTGGCCTCTGCATTTATGCAAATTGCTAATATTTCTTTTTCAGAAAAATAGCCAAAAGTGCAATATTAGCCATTTATTGCAGCAATGTGGTACAGTTCTTCATGTTCACTACAATTTGAAAGGAATATATTCTTCTATTTTTGCCTAAATTTGATAAGGGAAAGAAAGGATGAGAATAACAGAACACAAAATTAATTCGCTGTTATATTGAGCAAATCACTATTTCATATGTTGTGGAATACATTATGCTTTCTCACTTTCTGTGAGATATTTTCTGCAACATGACAATATGTGGAGTGGAGCCATTAGAGATAATGGTTGTATGACAAGAAAAAGATGAATCCAAGCAAAGAAAAATGGCTGGTGGGTGGTATTAATTTTATAAATGGAGAGGTCCTACAGCACGTGGGAGAGACCCCACGTGCTATGGAAACTTGAGCATGGTGCAGTAACTTTGTCAAATCAAATAAAGCAGATATTCATCAGATACACACTTCTCCATCACTTTTGGCTTTGAAAGCTTTTTGGGACCCAAATACCAAGCAAGTAGCCAAATACTTTCAATGCTAGCATTCTGATTCTTGGGTCCTTGACGCCATAAATAATTGGTTGGCTTTTGTCACACAAGTTGTGTAATTTGTGTTTAACATGGAATGTAGATTGGTGAGGTGTGCATAATTTCTAAGCATTTGAGATAAAAGGGAAAATCTCAGCACCTACAACTTGCAGAGTTGTTGTCATTCTCATTGATTGGTACTCATTTGTTACTTAATGCAATGTTCTGGAATTCCGAGATGCTCAAATTTTTTTAACTCAAAAATCATTATTATATTATGGATAACAAGTAGCAGTAGTTTGGAAGTGTAATAAAAAACTAAGCAGTGTTCAAGTTGTGGTAGTGGAGCACGGTTTTAGAGACAAATTGGGACTTCAAAAACAATTACTAGATATAAGGACACTCCCCACAAGATAATCCATCGTATACCATAGACACAACTCATAAGTTGGAATAAATCTTTGATACTACTGCTGTACCTAGATTCAGTGCATCTCATCAATGAGAACATTACACATCAGAGGAGAGAGAAAAATCTGATAAAAAAAATTAACTTATATGTAATATTTTCATTGGTGTGATGCACTGAATCTTTGGTACAACAGTAGTACCAAAGATTTATTCCATAAGTTGAATGTTACGTACAAAGTACAAACATTGAACGGTGGAAGTTTATATAGAAAACTACAAGATCTTCCTTGCTTAATCCAAGCCTTGCCATAAGGATTCCAACTCATAGTTCACTCCCCCAAGTGAGAGTGGCAAGCGTGCATCAATTAGTATATAATTGGTAGTGTAGAGAAAAAATGGCCCTTTATGCTTTAATAAATAGACCCATTACAAATTGTTACTCAAAGTTCTTTTTTTATTTTTTTATTGTGATCAAGTTCTTTAATAATTTGTTTCTCTTATTCGATTAAAGTCAGATCATTCAGGTTAAGATTAAGAGATTTTTACAAGAATATCTCTTAGTGATTAAGTACACGCATACCAATATATTGGTTTATCATTAAATATTTTGGATTAGTGATTAGGTAAAGTTTAAATAGATAACTCAAGTTTCATTTCTAATTTTATTGGATACATAAATTTAATTTACGATATAATAGAAAAAACTTGATCACAGAGAATCCACGTCATGAAAAATGTTCCATTTTAGAGAAATTTTTGTGTATTCTTAATGTATATAGTATATACATTTAGTCAGTCAAAAAAACATGTAACATAACAATTTAACATGACATGATTAATTTTACAGAATAATACTTCTGCAGTTAATGCAGATAAGTTATCTGCATTTATTCACAAAACGACGTTGTTTTAGCATTGAAAAATTAAATAATTATAATTATAAAGACCAATGGCGGACCTACGTTGGTTTTATTGTCTGCACTTGCAGACATAAAGTTGAGGAGGGAATTTTTTTTTTACATAGGGTATGTGATTCAAGTCAAGTAAAAAATAAAAAAAAATAAGAAGATTAAAAGGAAAAAGATAAAGAGTGGAGGAGAATCACACGAAATTTTTCATGTTTTTTTATGAAACAAAACTGATTAACTTTGGATCAAATAGACATCGACAAATGTGAGTTTTTGATCGATTAACCCCTACAATTATACTATATTTTACAAATGTCTTTTTGTGGTGTTTATTTATTTTTTAATTATTATTATCAATTATTTTCTTAAAACTTTGGTTGATTCACCAAAGCTTTATTTTTGAAGTGGAAGCAAAAATTGGATCATGATTATGATCTTTAAAAAAAATTCACTAAAGCACTAAGTGTGCAGACATAAAAAAAATTTCCTGGGTCCGCCACTAATAAAGACTATAATAATCCTGAAATAAATTAAAATTACAAAAATACCATGATTTTCGTCCCAAAACGACGTCGTATTAGGCTTATTATAGATAACTTATCTGCAATAACTGCAAAAAAAAGTGAACCCTTAATTTTAAGTGAAAATTGTACTACTGGTTTATTTCAAAAATTGTGACATCAGAGTTATGTTTTTCAATTGAAAGCGGTTCAGAAACTGGTACTCTGGTAGTTCCTAAACAACATCGATAAGTCAAACAATACAAGATGCCTCGAGATGGCCCAAAATTCAAGACTTCATGTGGACATTTTAATGGTTTGTTTTCTTGTACTAAGTAGGTGGGCTCACTCGTCATAATTTACTATATTATTGTTAGGCCTGATCAGAATACCATATTAGGCACATGATAAAATAGATATAAGGGCCTATTAGAGTTCGGGCCAAGACAAAAATAAAGTGGGCCATAAAATTAAGCATTCATCTAACTCTAGAAATTAACTATGGTAAAGAAAATTATTCAATTATGATAAATGAACATCTCCAAACTTTAGAATGAACTTGTCAATGACTAGAAAAAAAAAAAAAAACTAGTGAAAGAGAAATTATGAAAGAAATATAAAATAAACGCCAGTCTGGCAACTCTAGAAATTTACTAAAATTGTGCATTTGATAATATCATGACAACTTTCATATTTGAACATTTTTAGTCTTGATATTGTTTTAGAGAATGAAAATGGAAAACTATCCTCTTTTGTGACTCATATACATATATATATAAGATTACCAAATGCTCATCACACTTACTGAGTTAAGAATCAATCTTTGCTTAGGCATTGTGGGCCTTAATCGCAGAGTACTTCCAATAAAATTTGAATCATGCATTGCCAAATAAAGTCTATATAGATAGGTAGAGTTCATAAAATTTACGTAAATTTTTTAAGTTGTCAACTGCCATAAATTCGTGGAATTTCAAGTGTTTTGGTGGATGTATCATGTGCTATATCATTTGTTTTAGGGTAAAGGATTTATTCAGTCAATGGAGATAAGTTATCTCCGGTAAGCTCAAAATAATATCGTTTTGGGACGAAAATCAAGATATTTTTGTAATTATAATATATTGCAGGGTTATATTAGTCTTTATCATCATAATTTTTTAATCTTATAATCTCAAAACGACGTCGTTTTGAGCTACCTGGAGATAATTTTAACAAATACTTCTCTCTTTGTTTTATTATAAGCGATTCGTTAATAATTTACGACAAGATTGATTTTGAAAATAAGCCTTTCAGTAAAAAGATTTCAGAAAACGACAACATAAATCTTCAGAAAAAAGAAAAGAAAAGAAATAGGCAAGATATTGTAACAATCAATTAGGGTTACTGTCAATGTTACTACCAATTAATCTTACTATTAGATTGATTATGTTGATCCAACGTTTATATTTATTGTCATCTTTGTATGATTATGATTCCTCATATTTAATACTTTATATTTATTTCTACATTTGTATGGTTATGATTCTCCATATTTAATGTGAAAGCATTAAATATGGAAAATTTTAACCATACAAAAAAGGAAATAAATATAATAGGTGGATCAACGTAATCGATCTAACGGTAAAATTGATTGATAATAATTCTAATTGGTTGTTACAATATTCTATTCCGAAAAAAAAAACTGTGAAAGTTAGGCATATTTGGTATCTGCATTCTATTCACAAAACCAGAATTTTGAAAGTTTGTGTTTTATTTGAGGTAGGATCCTTTGACATCAGTGTCAAATTTAAAATTTGACATCTCATCTGAGAGTCGTTAGATCAGAAAAGATCAATAGTGTCACATGCTCACAAATCAGAGCCATTGATCTTTTTCAATCTAAGGGCTCTCAGATGAGGTGTCAAATGATCCTACCTCGTTTTCTTTCTATTGTCAAGTTATGAAAATCATAACTCAAATGTCATTTTCAATAAAGAAGAAATGACATAACTTATTTGGAAACATTTTTAATATATTATCTAAAACTTTTTATTTTTATTATTGTTCTTTTGAGGAAGAAGAGAAGTGTAAAAAAAGCTATGACATTGACAATATTTAGAACCCTAATTAGTGCTGGTGGCTTTCACTATCATAGGTTACAAAACTAGAGCTACGACATTATCGGAGGCAGCAATGACTGCAATTCTACGGGTTTGTATGGCTCCATTTTCCTTAGTCTTTAAACCCACAAAATATAGGCCGTTTGATCGTTCAGGATCTTAATGTTGTTTTTCAGTAGGGGCATTTAGTTTCCAAATTGGACACTCGCGTAGCTATTTTTATTTTTTATTTATTTTTTAATGAGTTTCAAGGACATTCCTTTAGGGAATTTGTTAATGAGTTTTATGTTTATCATTTAACATAATATAACTTCACTTTCCTACACACACATTAAAGAGGTGGAGTCCACATGTTTTTCTTTCTCTTTGATCATTCTACTTTTTGTCTCTCTTTTGATGTGAGAGTTGGAAACAACACTTACATTATGTTACATAACACTAATAAAACCCTTTGTTAATTGTTAATATTATTTTAAGCATTAAGGGTTTGGACGATTAAGATCGTGCCACATAACTTTGTTTATTGAAAACTGCTCCAGTACATATAGCTTCAAGTTAAT